GATTTTTTTAGGCTAGGGTGGTGGTTCAAGCCTGTATTCCCAGTACTTTGGGAGGCAGAGGTGAGATGATTGCCTGAGCCCAGGATTTTGAGACCAGCCTGAGCAATTTGGCAAGACCTTATCTCTACAATAAATCAAAAAATTAGCCAGGCAAGGTAGCACACACCTGTAGTTCCAGCTACTTGGAAGGCTGAGGTGGAAGGATTGCCGGAGCCCAGCAGGTCAAGGCTGCGATGACCGTGAGCATGCCACTGCACTCCAGCCTGGGTGACAGAGTGAGACTCCAACTCAAAAAAAATAGAGTTTGTTTCATATCTATTTCATATTTTCAGTCCTCCAAGGTGGGACACCATTCCTGGAGGTGCTGGATCTATATGGAGTGGACGGAGCAAGCTTCTATTCCTAAATATTTCAAAGCTCCATCTCACGTACCGTCCTCAGGTAGAGGGCACATCAGGTATTAAACTGATAAGAACAGATACTACACTTGATCTCAGCCAAAAGGCCAAGAAGCAATGTCTAGTTCATATTTTATTTATTTATTTTTATTTTTTGGAGTTAGAGTCTCACTGTAACTCAGGCTGGAATGCAGTGGCACACTCATGGCCACTCCAGCATCGACCTGCTGGGTTCAGGCGACCCTTCCTCCTCAGCCTTCCAAGTAGCCAGAACTACAGGTGTGCATTACCACACCTGGCTAATTTTTTTTTTAATTGTAGAGATGAGGTCTCACCAAGTTCCCCGAACTGGTCTCAAACCCGAGGGCTCAGGCAATCCACTTGCCTCGGCCTCCCAAAATGCTGGGATTACAGGCTGAGCAACAGAGCCTGGCAGTTAACATTTTAAAAGTATTTTTCACAGAACAGTATTGAAATAGCCCGAATGTCTCCGCCACAGGAGACTGACTATCAGGCCCAGTATTTAGTCATAAGGGTGGCAGAGCTCCCCAGGAGACTGAATGCACAGCCACGATAGCCTTGTGCTCAAGTGGAGGAACCTGACAGGACGAGTGCAGAACCCCAAGCCAGGGGTGAAAACACTTTGGGTAAAGAGTCTGAGACACTTGATCGCCAGCATCCTCTGAACTCTCCAGGCTGGCGTTGGAAGTCTGTGTCCCTCCCCTTGCCTGGTGACCATGAAGAAGCCTCACCTGAGGCACCCGCCGCCAAGATCCACCTCCATCTCTCCCCATTATTTCAGCATAGACCTAGCAGGGAAGTCCACGCACTCTCTCAGGGACTAACTTACCAAGAGAACTGTAAGATCCGGTTCACATGTACTGGCAAGAACTTGGGAATGCAGATGGGAGTGGCTTTTGAGAGTCTGAGATTTAGAGAGTAAAAAATAACACAGGGAGGTGTTGGCAAGGACACTGTTCCACGACTCAGGATTGAACGAATGCACAAGGACACCGGGTGTCAGTCTTGATATGCTGTCCAGGTGGCTCCTGGCAGCCTGGGTCTGACAAGAGCCTTCTATGGGGTAGAGATGGTGGAATGTAGGGTCTGACTCCATGTTCTGATGTTAACTGCTGATGGCTTTCAAACCTCACCCTTAAGGTGAAAGCTATTCCCTGTGCACCATGCTGGGTAAGCTGACAAGCCAGCCTCGGAGTCCTGGTACACTAAAACCACGCACCCCCTTGCCTGGACAGAGAAGCCCTTAGCCCGACCCACCCCAACCACAGCAAACGCCAGGCCAGTCCCCCGTGCTGCCTCTCTAGGGCTATTCTGCACCTCCTCAAGGAGCCCACTCCGCTCTCCCCAGAGAGCTCAGTCTTGAACACAACACCACCAACACTCTTACACCCTCTTGCTGTGTGTCTCAATGTCTGAACCCATTTTGGATGGGGGTCCATCTGCCTCTGAGGTGACCATGAGGCTCAGGTTGAGGGAACTCTTTTGGATGGATTTATTACGTGAGACCAGAGGGCCCGCCTGACCATGCTTTCCTGTCAGAGTCGCATCCACCAGAGAGCACCATAGAGGAGATCAAGAGACGGGAGGGGATGTTCATCAACCGCCTCCCCCTGCATGTGCTTTGTCCCTGACACCCTGGTGCTTGCACAATAAGCCCCTCAAAGGCAGGGCCATGGTGGAAGAAATGGAAGTGATGAACAGTCCCACAAGCACAAGCTTTCTCTCACAAAGCTGGGCCCAGGCCAGTTACTGGAGCTGATGAATGTCCAGCTTGTCAGAGGCAGATGCTGGTGGTGAGCCCTGGACACAGTGCCATCCCTCCAGGAACCCGCTGGAAACATCAAGGCAAGGTGATTAGGTTACATGGGGTTCCTTTCCCTCTGGAGGGACCAGTGACCCACCCCAGCATCTATACCATCACCACCATCCAAAGGCCTACAAAGTGCCTGATTTACAAACAGGGTTCCCAAAGAACACAGCATTAGCTCAAAGGACCCATTTTCTAGTGAAAGAAATGCAATAAAATGTGTTTGGCCATGGCATCCACGGGTCCTACCACACACTGTGCCACTCAGAAACTGCTGGCCTAACAGAACAGTGGAATTGCCTCTTAAAGCTCAGCTAAGGCATCAGTTCAGGACAGCAGCCTACAGAGTTGGGGCACTGTCCCCCAGGATTTAGTATATGCGTTGAGCCAATAGTGCTGTGTCCAGGAAGAACCAAGTGGTGGAAGCTGGATCAGCCCTCTCACCTACTTGCAGACTTTGTGCTCCTCACTACTGTGACTTAGGCCTGGTTGAGGTCCTAGTTTCCAGGGAAGGGAACACATCCACAGTGGAAGGAAATCTGAAACTGAAGCTACAACCGCCAGTAACTGTGGGCTCTAGAGCCAGATCAGCAGGCAGAAAGGAAAAAGTAGTTATTACCTTGGAGAGGTAAACTGACCTTGACCACCCTAAGACACAAGAATTGCTGCTATGTAAAGTGAGCAAAGGGGAACGTGTCTGGAACCCAGGAGAGTCCCTGAGGCATCTGGAACTGAGGGGAAGTTCCTGAGGCATCTGGAACTCAGAAAAGTCCCTGAGGCTTCTGGAACCCAGGAGAGTCCCCGAGGCATCTGGAACCCTGGGATGTCCCTGAGGCATCTGGAACCTGGGAAGTCCCTGAGGCATCCAGAACCTGTGAAGTCCCTGATGCTTCCATGCCCTGTCCTGACTATCAATGTAACTGGCAACTGCAGCAACCACTGCCTGACTGGGCCAGGGCGAGTCACAAGGGCCAAACCTCTTTGTGAGTGAGTCTGGTCACCCCATCAGGCAAGAGACCCCGAACAGTGGGAGCGCTGGCTGGGACAGGAGGTGATGGTTAAGAAGAGAGATGACAAGTGTAACCGACCACAGCCTTGGGGTCAGCTGTAGCCCTGAGTTGAGGCTCATCCCACTAGCCACCAGTTAGTAAGTCTTTTCTAGGAATTGGAACTGGCTACCTTGTTGCAGATGCAGTTGGAGTATTTTCACCCTGAAGAGTGAGCAGAAGCCGGGCTTGGTGGCTCCGCCTGTAATCTAGCGCTTTGGGAGGCTGAGGTGAGTGGATTGCCTGAGCCCGCGGGCTCGAGACCCGCCTGGGCAACTCATCTCTATAATCAATCAATCAATCAATCAATAGCTTGGCATGGTAGCACGCGCCTGTGGTTCCAGCTACTTGGAAGGCTGAGGTGGAAGGATCGCCGGAGGCCAGCAAGTCGAGGCTGCAGTGGCCAGGAGCATGCCACTGCACTACACTGCACTCCAGTCTGGGTGACACAGTAAGACTCCAACTAAAAAAAAAAAAAGTGAGCAGAGCAAAGCCAGGGGTAGACTGTGAGACCCTCCAGTATCTCCTTGGGCCCTCACCTCTCAGCCTTGCCTCTGACTCCAGCGTGGTGGCATGGACAGTTCCCTGTGTGCCTCAACTGGTGACATGTCTTCATTTCCACGCCAGGTTCTTCCAATGCAATACATGGGTGACAGACGGGTGGCAGCTGGCCTATGCAAAGCCTGAATGCTGAGGGACATGGTTAGCACATCCATGATAGCCTTTAGCCAATGAGGGTAGTACTCAAAGAATCACACGCCCATCCCTCATTCTTTGGGAGTGGACAAATCTGGGGGACACTTGTCTACTTCTCAGGCGATCTCAGGCAGAATCACACCCCAGTGGCCCGTAAGAGTAGCCTTAATAATACACCCTTGTAATGTGTTTTCTTCCTTTCCTGACTCATTCTAAGCCCTGCTCCTTGGGTAACCTTCCAAAGAAGTTTCCTGTGCAGAAAATCCTTGTCTCAGGCATTGCTTTTGGTGACCAAGCTGAGACACTCCAAATCCACTTTAGCTCCCATCCAGATCTCCATCTATCCAGCTGCCCATGCTGGAAACCCAGGTGTAATCCTGACACCTTCCCTGCTCCATATCAATCGGTCGCCACATCTGGACAACGTTGTCCCCGACATACACCACCACCTCCCCCTAGCTCCCCCGGCCATCCATTTCTCTTCCACTGACGTGTCCATGGGTATGGCCACCACCACCCTCCACCTGTGTGGCTGCAACACGCCCAACTCTTCCAGCCTCCATCCTGCATCCAGTGGGGACTGAGATGCAGAAGTGCTGCAGGACTGCCCTCACTCTTCTGTATCTGTTTCAGTGGTCAGCAGTTGTGTCGCGCTTGGCTAGACAAGCTGTAGGTGACTGCGGCCCCAGGACAGCCCTGCACTTCCAAACCTGCAGCTGACCGCCTGAGGCTACAGGACAGAGTACTCTTGGGAGCAGGCGAAGAGCCCAGAAGCACTTCCAGACCCGACAACATACTGGACGAATCACAAGAGCAGCCCCCACCCAGTGACATGCCCCAGTTCCCAATCCCTGTCACCTCGGTTACTCCTCACTGTACATGCAGGCGGCTCAGAAAACTGAATGACTTGCCCGAGGTCATGGTCGGTGACTGGCAGACCTGGGACCTAGCCCCAGGCATCACCAAGGGCTGGAGCTCTTTCCTTGATACAGCAGAGGCACTATCAGAAGAAATGACTGCTTGCCCAAAAGCTTTCTTTTTTTTAAATCATCTTTAATGTATTTGTAATAATTTTTTGCTTCATTTACCAGATAAATCATCTAAATAAATAGATGCTATACAGTCTCTTACCAATGTCAGTACAAAAATAAAACCGCGCTCTACACCCACTCTGACTGTCCCCAGCACACACTCACTAGAAAAGGCCTGTGCTCGGAATCGGCTCGTGCCCCAGCCCTCCCAAATACATTCATTGAGTCTGAACAAAGCTCGAAGCTCATTCTGTGCAAAGGAAGCGTTCTTGTGCTGAGACCTGCCGGCCACGGCTGGCCACTTATAAAGCAAAAGCTCACCCACCTCGGAAGCATGGCGCCTTCCCTTGGAGCGAGAGGGGAGGAGGACATTGGCAACCAGATTATCACCAGAGAGCAGTGATAATCGTCAAGCCCACTAGGCTCGGCCACACATTACGAGTGGCCATGCCAGGGGTGGGGGAACACCCTCTTCATCCCCCCACTGTGAAAAAAAGTACCTACCCGGTCTCTACATTCAGAGCGGGCGGGGGCTGGGGAAAGAAAGGCAGGTGGTCCAATACCTTCTAAGCCTCCTCCACCCCCAAGAGTACTGGCCTTCTAGAGGGGCTGTGGGGGTGGGAGTGCCCTGCAGGGCTGCTCTGGGCTGGGAGGAAGGCTGCGCAGCCACTCCCATAGGGTACCTCATAGAGGCCCCTGTCCTGGGAGGGTCCTAACAGCCCACAGCCTATTCCCCCAGGGAGCCGTGACCACAGCCCATGAACCACGTGGCTGTACTGCACTGGGCATCTCAGGTCCACCCGTCCCAAGCCACACCCTTGGAGTTCAGCCCTCTCTGGGTTGCAGGGTTCCCTGGGGGCCGCAAAGGGCTAAGTAAGAGGAAATATGTGTTTTGCTGCTATAGACAGGAAAAACAACGGCCTCACCCACACAAAAAGCCCCCACAAGCCACAAACCCACAGGCTGCACAAATGGTTCTTTGAAAGTGCCCAGGAAGCAGGAAGAATTTCCATGTCCCCAGGGGCACGGGAGCGTGACTCTTGCTGGAAGCTGCCAGCCTTGTCCTGGAGCCATGAGCCAGCACACTCAACTGGAGAGAGACCCCCCCTACAAACCTCTGCCACCTTCACCTCTGCTAAGAGCCCCCCTCCTGGAAGAGTCCTCTCCCCAAGTCCAAGCTTCCCTTTCTCCTCCCAAGGGTCCCACACTGGATGGGTGGTGAGTCTTGCTGCCCCTTCCTTTTCCTGACCCATCCCACATGTTCTCCTCGATTCCATTCCCTGGGCTGGAGGTGGATCGAGTCACCCTGGAGGGGACTGTCCCCCAGTGGAAGCACTGAATTGACCCTGGACAACTAAAGATTAAGGAAGAAGGGGAGAGAGAGACTCAGGGATCTGGGACTTCTGTCAACAGAGCACCCCAAACAGAAGTGGGGTCCAGGCTGTCTTTGGCTTGGGCACTGGGGAAGAAGGGGCTGGGGTGAACAGTCACAATCTCCTGGCCTCAGCAGACCCTGTGACTTTCTGAGGGCCCAGCACAGAGTGGGGGACAAGGCTGGCAGAGAGCAGGCAGGTTGCAAACTCCTGGCCACACGCTGTTTTCCTGTCACATCACCCTGACTTGACCACAAGAAAGGATGTGGGAGCCTTTTCCACGCTCCCCTGGTGCCGCCCAACCTGGCTTCTCCCCTACAGGTCTGGGACAGAAGGAGAAGTCACTCCTCACTGGCAGGGAAGCTACTAGCCCACAGGACATAAAGCAAGTGGCCCTTCAGACACAGCCTCTCACCAGGACATGGGCTTGTGCATGACCCACTGCACACCACAGCCCAGGAAGACATGGCAGAGGTCCCCCACAGGAACACAAGGTCACCCAAGCTGTGGTGTGCAATTGGATGGGGGGAGGGAAAGCAGAATGGAAGGAGAAAAGGGTTCCGGAGTCAAGGGCTGCCCTGAGAAAGTACTGGGACACTCCCTCCCTCCCTGACTGCCGACACACACCCACACCCACATCAGGGTTGGCTGAGTGGGAGGGGAGGCAGAAAAAGAGGGGACTCGGAAGGGCTGAAAAGTCACCTGAGTCAGAAAGAACAAGAACCCCTCTGGGGAGGAAGGAGAGAACAAAGGGTCTTAGAGCCTGCACCGATGCATCGGCACAGCGTGGCAGATGCCTGCACACCCGTAGCCTGGCCAGGTGCAGCCACAAAACACACCTGCATGGTTGCAGCAGACCCCTGCCCTCCACTGACAGTTGCAGGCAGCCGCCTAGGAACAGAGCCTAGCACGTGCTGTGCGTGCAAGGTGGGGTGAATGTGGGTGCCGTGGCAAGTTCTCTTGTGCTATAAGCCACCCCAGTTCACCAGTTCACCCCAGTCAGGGCTTCTAAGCCAGATGTGCAAGGCCCACAAGAACATGGCTATAGACACATGTTCACGGGGCACGTGTGGACATGCACACAAAGGGCAGCACACACTTGTGTGGCTGGGTGTGTATGTGAGTGTTTCTGTGAGGCCAGGTAGGGGGCGGAGCTCTCAGCAGAAGGGTCCCAGCTGGCAGCCTCCTCCCTGGGATGGCAGAAACCTGTATGAAGTGAAGGGGACATGCCCCAGCAATCTCAGACCCCTCCTCCTGCCCCTTCTCCCTGACCCAGTCACTTTTGGTCAAAGGCAGCCTCAGCAGCCCCTCACGGAGCTGGAGTAGAAAGTTCAAAATAAAGACCCAATCAAAAAAAAAGGAAAGGGGAATTCAGGCTGGGTGGGCACCCATGGAGAGGCTCTGGCCCTGCTAATGCTTGTTGACTCCCAGACCCAGCTGCCACGTCTCCAGAGAAGAGTGACAAGGGAGATGTCCTAGGTAGGGCGGCCCCGTCCCCATCCTGCCCTAGGGTGCTGCCCCACTCCCAGAGCAATGCTGGGCGCCCCCACCCTGGGTTCTGAGGCCTCTCTGTAAATGTCCCTGACAGCGAAAGGGCAGGGTGGTGAGAGAGTGGTAGAATCTTCCCCCACTTCTTCTGCTTGGTATTTCTTAAAATAAAATAATTACCCCATCCCTAGCCCCTCCCCATCTCTGGAAGTCCCCACCCCAAGCCCAAAAGAAAACAGTTTAAGAAGAGTAAAAATGGCGATTCAGAACTTCCCGCTGCGGTCTCGGAAGAACCCCTCAGCTGCCTGGGCCTCACGGAAGGTGACGGTGATGGAGTTGGCGGTGATGTCAGTCACGGTCACCTCACTGGGGGGGAGCGCAGGTGTCCAGGGAGGGGGCCCCTCGGCCAGGTCTGCATCTGCTGCAGCCACGAGACACAGACGGGAGCAGTGTTGACAAGGTGGACAGACATGCAGGCCACCCGCACCCCACCCTGGGTCCCTCTCTCTGCACCCCCCAGCCAGCTCAGGGCCCAACTCACAGCTGGACACTGAGAGGACGTCACTGGATGCATCTTTCCTGGCTAGACAGGAGCTCATCCAGAGCGGATGACAGAAAGAGCTCTTGGCTGGGTGTCAGCTCCTGAGTCCAGACCCCATGGTCCCCACAGACTACTGGCCCTTTCTGGATGCTGGATCAGTTGAACCCGATGACCCACAGGGACCTCTCTAGCTCTGAGGGCCTCTGGGCCGGGGCTGCCTTACCCTCCTCTTCGGGGGGCTGCTCAACAGGCTCCCACTCGCCGGCCGCCTGCAGGACGTCTGGGGCCGGTGACTCCTGCAGGAAGAGCTCCCGTCGATGGCTGTGACTCTCCAGGTTGGGCCCGCGGGGCGGGAACTTCTTGCGTGAGAGCCGCAGGTACTTGTGGGCCTTCCGCGGCTTGCGGAGCGGGAAGGGCAGGGTGGACACCAAGGGGCCCTTGTCCACCAGCTCGGGCGCCCCCGCCTTGACCACCCCCTCAGGGCTCCCGCTGCCGAGTGGGCGCGTCAGGGAGAAGCAGAGCTTCTCCTTGCCCTGAGCCTTGTGGGAGCTCCGCAGGTCCATGCTGTACAGCCGCTGCGGGGGCAAGCCAGGGCAGCGGGTCAGCCCCGCCCTCCCGTGCGCGGCCACACCTTTGCTCATGCTGTTCCTCCCACCCAGAGTGCCCTTCCCACACCTGTCCAGACAATTCCTCCCCATCTCATGGCCAGAGCCAGCCATCGCCCCCCCACCCACCCCAGCCAGAGTCCCCTGACCAGCTCCAGGCCCCGCCCAGCTCAGCCACGCCTCTGGGCCCCACAGAGCAGTCTCATCTCCCTGGGGCTGGGGGCTGGGGGCCATGGGGCTTATTCCTTACACCCACAGGAGAGGAGCATACAAGAGGTTACAAACTGAAAACGGACCAACAGAAAACAAATCTGGATAAACTAAGGAGTTAGCCTTCATTTAGGAAGGTAACTTTGCTTTCTCAAGGACCTCCAAAGCTTGCCAGGGGGACGTGTGGGGCAGGGGGCCAAGCCACCCAAGTGACACCCATAGCACCTCCACCCCACATCACCCAGCTGAGGGGACAGTGCCTGCTGTGGCCTGCAGGTGCACCCCAACCCCTCTGTGAGCCACCTCTCTGGAGTCCAGGCCTCTGCTGAATATCTGCCTCACCTTTGGTGAAACAGAACTGGGGCATGTTCATCTACCTATCAAGAGCTGGAGTTCATGATTTGGAGATTTGTCTTACTGACTTTGGGAGAATTTACATGAATCCATGAAAGATCCTTGCTGCCAAAACTCTGGGGAACCCTGGGTCACTCTGGACAATTTCTTCTCCTGCCACCTGTCACCAGAGTCCAAGAGCTCTCAGGAAGAGAGCAAGGCCATCAGATGGGACCCAAGAGGCCAAACAACTCCAGGATGGGGGCAGAGGTGACATGTGCAGGCTCCACTCTCAGTGACACCTGCTAACAGCGTAGCGTGTACCAAGGTGACAGAAGGAAGGTCGAACTAGGAGGAAACTGGGAAAATGCTGCAGTGGCTGGGAGGCTCCTTATTCAAAACCCACTCCCCCACCTGGCTCTGAGCCCAGCAAACTCTAAAACAAGGCAGATCCTTGTCCTTCCCTACCTCATCCTGAGAAAACTGCAGCGACAAAAGGGATATAGGGGTGCCAAGAGTCAGGTTCTGCCGTGTGACTTGGGAAGCAATTAACCTCCTGAACCCTGGTTTCTTTTCTTCTTGTTGTTTTTTTGAGTTGGAGTCTCACTCTGTCGCCCAGGCTGGAACGCAGTGACATGCTCACGGCCACCGCAGCCTCAACCTACTAGGCTCAGGTGATCCTTCCACTTCAGCCTTCCAAGTAGCTGGAATTACAGGCATGTGCCATCATGCCCGGCTAATTTTTTTGATTTATTGTAGAGATGAGGTCTCGTCAAGTTGCCCAGGCTGATCTTGAACCCATGGGCTCAGGCAATCCTCTCACCCTGGCCTAACAAAGTGCTGAGATTATAGGTATGAGCCACCGTGCCCAGCCTAACCCTGGTTTCTTTAACAATGAACCATGAAGACGCTCTCGTAGCCAGCCTCCTAGGTGGCCCCAACAACAACCCACCTCCTGGGATTCATGCTTGCATGCAGTCCCTGCCCACACAGAATACGGTGGTGTGTGACATCTTAGGCTAGGTCACAAAAGACGCTTGGCTTCTTCCCTGCACTCTTTCTTGGACCACTTGCTTTCTGGGGAAGCTGATGGCCATATTATAAGGACATATAAGCAGCCTCTGAAGAGGTCCACGTGGTAGACTCGGCCCATCAACACCCAGCACCAACTCGCCAGGCTTGTGAGTAGCCACCTTGGATGCAGATCTGGCAGCCCCAGGTGAGCCTTCAGATGAGGCAGCCCCAGCCAACATGGTGACCGGAGACCAAGCTAGAACCACCAAAGAGCCAGCTAATGTGCTCCCAGAAACCATCTGGTCCACAGAAACCATGTAAAATAATCAATGTTCATGGCTTTCCGTGGCTAAGTTAGAGGTGTGATATATTACACAACAAGAGATAACTAGCACACCTGCCCTGTAGGCGTGGTGCATGGATGAGATGTGTTCATCAGGAAGCACACGGGGCACAGAGCCCAGCAGGAAGATGTCACTTTCTTCCTAGGCCCAGTCCACACCCGACCTGACAGACACACCTACTGCATGAAGGGAGATCCATCTCCTTTGGTGAAAGGAGTGAGGGTCTGTAATCTGAAGTAGCCAGGAGGCTTGGTATGGCCCACAGGCATATGGACCAAGAATCCTTATTTTTTGGCTTCAAACACCCTTCCTGGTGGGCCTTACCACATGAAGGGGAGCAGGTATTCTTACCACCCAATTTTGAAGGTGAAAAGACTTGCCTACAATCACATACAGGTTGAGTATCCCTTATCCAAAATGCCTAGAACCAGATGTGTTCGGACTTCAAATTTTTTCAGGTTTTGGAATATTTATATTATACTTATGATCTGAACATACTCAGTCCAAAAATTGGAAATCCAAATGCTCCAGTGGGCATCTCCTTTGAGCATCATGTTGGCGCTCAAAGGTTGTAGATTTTGGAGCACTGCAGATTTCAGATTAGGGAGGCTCAACCTGTAATGACACTGTTTCCAACTCCATCTGCTTTTCACTGCTAACCATTGAAGTCAGCAAAGTGCATCTAAGACCTAAGACGTGGGTACTGGGAATGCTGCGTAGTCTAGGTCCCCACCTGACAGAAGGCTGGAAAAAGAGGCACTGTGGGCTTCTTCCCACTCAACAACAACATGCTTCTGGAGTCCAACACTCCAAGGCTAAGACTCCAGAATTCAAAGAAGCTCTGCTTCTTGGATTCTAAAATTCCAGTCTCCTTTGCTCCCTCAATTCTAAAGTTTATGTTCCTGAGCTTCTGAAATATTACAATTGCGAGTTTGGGGATTTTAAGCATCAAGAAGCTCAAAGCTTTCATGTCTTTTTTAAGGCAAGACTCTGAGCTTTCCAGATTCTAGGACTCCATCAGCTGGATGCTCACCCTCCTCCCGCCACGGCACCTCCCACCAGGCTGTCCATTCTGGCACCAGCTCCTCATTCGGGTTTCCCCAGTTCCTTCCATCCAAACCTATCCATAGTGTCCCACCCACGGTACCCAGAGTCCCATTTGCGGTGTCTTCTCTGGCACCCACAGTGCCAGGGAAGTGTAAGTGGATCGGCTCAACCAGCCAGCACAAGTGCAGAGGGTCAGGAAGCCCAGGTCGGGCAGGGATGGGAAGGATGCACAAGGCAGGTGGTTACCTGCAGCAGAAGCCGCTTGGGTTTCGGACCTCTCTTCCTATACCCCGATGCTCGGTCTCTCTCCTCCCTGGGGTGCGAAGCAGGTGGCAGAAGAAAAGGAAACACTGGTGACATCTAGGGGAACGTAAGGAGTCCACTTCACCCACCCTCTGCTGTCTTCCAGGGAGGGGACACCCTCCCAAGTCATCCCACCAGTTGTCCCCATTGCCCGGTGGGAGTCATTCCAGTGGGATCAGATGTTCAACTCCTCGGGCCTGTCTTCCTGTCTGACAAATAGAGAGGGCAATCACTGAGGTGGGTCTCATGCAGCATCTCCCAAAATATGTGGGTCTTTACTGGGTCATGTAAGGACTCAGCTCTACATGCTTCTGGGGAACCCCCAGAAATGCAGCTACAGTTTCTACTCTCAGCAGAGTTATATAGAAGCCTGTCAATCCCATTTGCCTTGAATGTCCCGGGAACTACTGAAAATGGTGAGTCTTCCTGCAAGTGAAGCCTTGCCCAGGCCGCTCCCCACTAAGGGTGTACAGAGCTGGCAGAGAGGACAGGCTCCCACCTCGTCTGCACCTACTCAGGGGATAGGAAGAAAATGAACCTGTCCTGAGTGTCTGGCAGATACCAGACGTTCTGCTGGGTGCCTTCCCCACACATCACACACACACACACACACACACACACACACACACACACACCACAAGAGGGGAATGCTCATAGATCCACATGACACACGCTGGACAACACAACCAGAGACTCCAAGCAACAAGGCCAAAAGCAGTAAGGAGGTTCAAAGTTGCTTCATCCTGCCTCCTATTTCAGCTCATTCCATTCACCCTCTGCAGCCCCCACTATAGAGGCCAAACGGGCAGCATGTGGAGGCCAGGAGCTCAACCCTACTTCCCTTCCTGGTCGTGTGACCCTGGGCTAGGCTCTCAGTCTGTGCTCAGCATGTACCAGTGAACCCCACAGCATCTACTCCAAATGTCCGGGCATCCTCTGGGCAGGAAATACCTCTCCCACAGGACACCCATCTCCAGGAGAGCAGGAAAGGCACCTGGCAGAGGATTTGAATCCAGGCCCTTGATACCTGCCCACTGCTCTCCTTTACCACATTCCAAGACATTCTGCAGGATTCCCAAATGTCACACCCTGTTGTACCAAGGCCCCTCCACTTACCCGGGAGGCAGGAAGAATCTGTGGGACAGGGACACCATGATTTTTAAAGGAAAGAACAGTGAAACTTGTCCTTGAACCAGTGGCAGGAAACCTCCTGGGGGAGGAGCAATGAGAATCCAGCACTGAGGGGCAGCACAAAAGCCCAGACTTGGCGTTGGGGGTCCCAGTCCGTGTTACGCTAGCTCCCAGCTGTGAGGCCCCTAGACAAGGCCCTTAACTCCTCAGAGCCTCAGTGTCCTCATCTGTCAAATGAGACCTTCATCCTTGCCTCCAGAGGATGCCGTAAGGGTCCTAGTACAGCCAATTTTGTGAAATGGTCCCACGTGGCATTGGGTGGGTCAGGAGGCAGGGACAGCGGTCAAGCCAGACACATGCCGTGGAGGGGAAGGGTCAGATCATGCTCAGAACCCCTGTAGGACACTGGCAGCCGTGGGAGACTAACTTTCCCCAGGGCTATTCGGCTAGGAGGTGGCCAAAGGGGACAGGCCAGAACTCACAAGTCCCGGCCCAAGGCCACACTCCCGCCCTGGCCTCTGTTGAGCTTTATCAGACTTTGCCTCTCTTGGGAAGAGAATCTCTAGAGAGACTCTATCTCTAACCTGAGAACGCTGCCCCTCACACAGAGGGTACCTTTGTGAAGTATTTTTATATCCTTCCCCGAAACTGAAGCCTCCTACAGGCCCCTGTGAGGTATCACCCTGAGGAAATCGCGGTGCTAGTCAGGATGGCCCATTTTATAGCAGGGAGACTGAGGCCTGGGTGGGGTAAAGGAAGTGACCAACATCACCCAGCAACAGGAAAGGGACCTAAGGTCCCTCGCTAAGCTGAGACTCAGCTCCCACCACCTTCCCCCGGCTGCAGACATGGACATCAGACGACTCCACCCTTCCCCCAGTGACCCTTGCTCAAGCTCCCTAGGAAGCCTCAGAGTGGCCCTGAGTCCAACTGGGCAGCAGGCTGAGGATACTTACTTCTCCTCGTAGGCCATGACAAGACGGGGGTCCAGGATGTGCTCCTCGGGCTCCCACGTGCTGTACCTGGGGAGAGAAACAAGTCAGCTACATCCCCCAGCTGCTGACCCAGGGCCCACTGCATGAGCCTTTACCCTATCCTGGTAAGATGCCACTGTCACCTACTCCAAGGACTGGCCCATTCTGGGCCTCCTGAGGGTTCTGGCAACACCCTCCTTCATACTACACTAGAATCTAACTGAATCCAACTTCCAATGAGACCCCATGTGCCCCCAAGACCCCCAGGTGTCTGGAAGAGAGCAGGCCCCTGCAAGCCCCAGGCTGCCCTTCCTGCTCCAGGTAAGAGGGGGTAGAAAGGAGCAGGGACTCTGGTGTTGCACTCACTGCCTGGGTTCAAATCCAGCTCTGTCCCCAGCTAGCTATGCAACCTTGAGCAACTTACTTCTCAGCTCTGTGCCTCAATTTCCTCAACCAGAAAGGCATCCTTTGCTGATGAAATGTGTTCACTAAGTGTTTAAAGACCAGCCTGGTGCACTGTAAGCACACTGTCAGAGTCTGCTGCCACTGCTCCTTCCCACCCTTTAAGCCCCACGGTAGGGGAGAGGGGGCCCTCACTCCCTTCTTCCTCAGTACACACATCTGTACCCAGGCCTGACCGTGCCAGATCTGAAGCTCCCTTGTCTATTGGCTGCATGCACAGCAGGTGTTTAGTAAACATCTAGTGACCGGACGGTTGAGCAATCCTATCACAGGCCTCCTGGGTATTGCCACAATGGATCTTCCACCCCAGCCAGAGAGCATCCCCTGCTAGGGCAGACCTGGTAGTGATAGCCCAGCAGTTCCAGAACTTACCCATCTGTGGCATGGCCTTTGGTGACACCTGCCACATCCTCATTCCACCTGCAATCTTAGTATCTGCCTTTAAAGCAGCTCATGGTTTTTAAATTATTTTAAAAGCAAAACTATGACTTCCGTAAATGTAAAAACCAGTATCGTTCACCAGGTGTACAAAACGTTCAATTAAAAAAGATACAGATACAGTCATGCGCCACGATGTTTCAGTCAACAGGAGACCCACATATTCCATGGTGGTTCTATAACATCATAATGGAGCTGAAACATCCCTGTTGCCTAGTGATGGCCTGATATACTGACCTGTGTAGGCCTAGGCCAATGTGTGTGCTTGTGTCTTAGCTTTAACAACAACAAAAAAAGTTTAGAAAGTAAAAAATAAAAATTTTTTAAAAATAGAAGCTCATGAAATATACAGAAAATATTTTGTACAATGTTATTACAATGTAATAACAGTCAAAAGCTTTTTTAAAATTAGAAAGTCTATAAAGTCAAAACGCTACAGTAAGCTAAGGTTCACTTTTTATTGAAGAAGAAATTCTTTATAAATTTAGTGTAGCCTAAGATTTCAGTGTTCATGAAGTCTACGGTTTCAAAATGCAGAAAGTGAAACTTTCTTTTGCATTTACGGTAGAAGTAACCAGAGCCCTCCCCTGCCAAATACGGGTTGAAAATCCTCCACAGTAACCAGTTAGAAGGGGAATTTGGTGTTCCTCCGTGCTTGGCCTCACCCTCTCTCTAGCGGCTGAAATGCCTGCAGCGTGCTCCTCACGGCTCTGCAGTTCTTGCTGAAGCAGCTGCTGTGTGAATCCTAGCAAGGCCCTACCCTTCTCTAGACCTCAATTTCCTCATCCCAAGAATCAGCACCACCACAGCCAACAGGTGCACTGACGACTGCCGGAAAACTCGCCCCTCCTGCAAAATACGCTGAGGTCGGTTCTTAAATTACTCCAATTTTACAGATGAAAAAACGGAGACACAGAGGTAGGTTCTTAAATTACCCCCATTTTGCAGATGAAGAAACTGAGGCACAGAGGTTGAGCTACTCGCCCAAGGTCACTGCGTCGGTAAATGGCCAATCTGCAGCTGGACCCGGCTTGGTTCTTAGCCACCCTCTACCTCCGGGTCCCTCACGGGTCACTGTAACCTGGCCCTCGTCGGGCTGTGCCCTCCTGGGGAGAGGACCGTTGCCTGTCTGGCCCCGGTCTCCCGGGTGTGGCTCGGAGCCTGGCACACAGGGGGTACCCAGCAAGAGTCGGCCGGATTAAGAAAGGGGATCGTTTGGGCCAGCTCCTTCGTGGGGGGACTGGGAAGGGGGATCACACAAGTGTTCTCGACCGCTCGGATCCCGCCACGCCCCTCCGCAGTGCGGGAGGCCGCAGCGAGGCACGCGCTTCCCAGCGGCCGGGCGCCGGCAGGCCAGGAGCACAC